CCCCAAAACCCCAAAACCCCAAAACCCCTGTTGTAATAATTACAATAAAACAATAAAAATTAATTTGAAATCAATTTATAAATTCATAAAATGATGCTTAATAAAGAAGAGATCTACGGCCGAAACCCAACAATTTCAAATCCACTTACTTACTAATAGCAATGAGAGCCTCTCCACGACATCAAGGGAAACTTCAACTAGAACTTTAATAGCTAAAATTACCTTGATAAATACTCCTCGAATACCGAACAGAACACTATGACTAACTCTTAAGTTCAGCCATCAATGAACTTTAACTATCGTAACAGATAAAGTAATTATCACTACTAGCAGCAGCAACCTAACTTGCTATCAAACTATAATAGTGCCGTAGGCTAAGTTGGAAGGGTAAATACTAATTTTAACACTCCCATGACTGCGAATAATGTGTAGTTTTAAAGTGATTTTAATAAAAATCCGCTATCAGATCCCTATTCTCAAAACATGAGAAGACATGAAACAGCCGGTGTTAACAATATTTCAGCATCTACTGATCCAAGGGTAATAAAATATTGATATAATTATTTTAGGAAAGAAAGTTGAAGGAAAGAGAAGATAGGATAAGAAGAGAAAAAGAAGAATTAGAAAAACTTGAGTCATATAATCCATTTGGCAAAGGTGGCGCTGGTGCTCCGTTCAAGGATAGAGATGGCAATATAATCTCCAATCGAAGACCTTTCTCTTAAATAAGAGAACCTGGACCTGCTTTATAGAATAGCTAATCAAATAAAAACATCTATTAACCTATAAATAGCAATCCATACAATGCTCCTATGGCATATGATCAAAAGTCAAATTTAAATTAATCTATTGATGTGGGGTAGTTACACATGAATTACTATCAAAATGCCTAAAATATTCAATCAAAATCTCCTTCATTGGGTGCTTAACAATATAACAATCCTCCAGCAAAAATTACATCTCTAGAATCAGCTGACTAAAGAGAGTAAAGGTAGAGAAAGCAGCTGGATTACTAGGAAGTATTGAGGCAATAAATGGAAGAAAAAAAAGCAAAGGAAGAGGCAGCAAAAAGAAAAAGAATGGAGGAGGATATGAGGCAAGAAATTAGAATTAAAGAAGAAATTGAAAGAGAAAAGATTATTCAGCAATAGGAAAAGATGAAAAAAGAACAACAATAAAATCAATATAAAAATCAAGAATAGGACAATACAAGTATGAATGCACATTCAAAGCACAAAAATGTAGGCAAAGTTGGCTACTCACCTGTAACCTAATCAAGTAAGGGAAATAATCTGCCACCTCCCAATTAGTAATAATAATTGCAACCATAGGCTCTTCATGAGTAGAAATTCCTGGATAACGGTTTTAATAGATAAATGGACATGCTTCAATTTAACAATCAAATGTAGCAGCCTGCTTCTATGAATTCTTACTAATAAAGTAATCCAGGTCAAGGTGGTTATGGTATAATAAATAATAGCAACCATATGATGTTTAATCAAATGGAAAATAATTTACAGAGTGAGATATAAAAACTTAAAACTGAAATGTTCAGTCAATAAAAGTAATTTGATAATCAGTTACTATAATTAAGAGAAGAGGCTTAACGAAATATTGAATATAGAGTTAAAGCAGAATAGGAATTGTAAAGAGTAAAACTTAATTCATAGAGAGACAGCTAAAGACCAATTTAAAGCGTCAACTAAAGTAGTCATAGTTAAAGAGATGCTTCTTCTAATATTGCTAGGAGAAGTATGGCTGGAATAAACAATTATGAGAAGATGTTTTTTGGAAATAATAACTTAGATTTTGGTAAAGGTCCTTTAAATTAAAACTCAAACTTGCCAGGAATTGGCAGCGGAGGTCTTAATTTTAGTAATCCACTTTACTAAGGATTAAAAGCATAGAATGAAGCTTAAAATTAAGGAAATCATTTCAATGGAAGTATATCACTTAAAGCTGAAAGCACTTTTGTTCCTGTTAATTCAAACTTCAATATACATTAGTAGCAGTTCTAATAATAGGAGATGAAATTAAATGAGTTTAAATCTGATATCATTTAACATTAACCATCGATCATTTAAACTTAGTCATAATAACTAGTTTCTAAAACTCAGTCCTAATATGACTAGTTTGATGGAGATTTATCTTTAAATTATTTAGAATCTGCTATTAACGAAATCAGTGAATTAAATATGGGTGAAAATTATAAAGTTACATAAAAAGCACTAGAAGATGCAAGAAAAGAAACTCAAAAGCAATCTTATAATGTTGAAAGTGACTAGGATTATCATGATTAGAATGTTCCATCATTTGAGAACTAAACTGCTCTTAATAAAATAAGGCAGTAAAGTAGACCTATATCAAGAGAAGTTAATCCCATCTAGAATCAATTATCAGATTAAGTCTAGCCAAATAAAAATTAAAGCATTATTCCTGATTACAAAGGGATACAAGATGATGATGATGAAATTAATTCTCTTGCATATTAAATAAACTAAGTTAATAATGCTCAAGCCTAAAATAAGTAGCATGAAACGGAGGAGATTAGAAAGGAATATTTAATGAGGTAAGTTCAACTAGGTCCAATTCTTGAGTCCTCAAATGAACACACCATGCCCTCAATGGGTCTTGTAGCTACTCAAAACCAACCTATAAATGACAATCTATAATGAATTCTTCTATATTTAGTTATGAAATAAGTTTATATCATACTATTCCATAAATAGACAACAAGGGGTTTTGGGGTTTTGGGGTTTTGGGGTTTTGGGGTTTTGGGG